TATCTATACCTGGGTGACAACAGTGGGACACACGAGACTCTTCTGCAACCTGCGGTCGCTTAACTTCGACTTCTGCATTGCTGTTTTGTTTGTGTTTTTCAGCAACCATCTCTTTAAAGTGCCTGAGTATATCGGACTGCCTCAACCATTTTCCGTAATTTGCGCCTCCTTGACCAGCGTGATGTCATTGTCAGTGTATATCAGATTAAACAAATAGTGCTATATTTGGAAATAGCCAAAATAAGCAAATTGTTTAACACTAGGAATTTATTTAAGGACGTGAGTTTCTTACTTATTGATGGTAGTTACCAAATCAGATCTGTAAAAAAGAGGGGAAATAGGGCACAATGTCAATAAGGAGGGAAAACTAGATACAAAGACGGCTCATAGAAGCTGAACCGAGTCCTATGTGTGAAGGGACAGTAACTGCGTGTGCATATGTAAGCATTTAAACACTGAAGATAGTAAAATTAACAGTATTTTGTCTAAGTCTGCCATTGTAGGAATTCATGGCACCGAGACAAAAACGTGGCGTACAGTGTGACATCAAACTAGGCGCACACCTTTGCTGCGTTTTCTCCGTTTTCCTCGTCCACACCTAAATGCTGAAACGGAGTTTTCGAAAAATATCCACCCCAGCAGGCGTCTTTAAAAATCTCAGTTTTCAGTTAACGAAAACGCAGTTTACGTGTGGACAAAAGGTGCAAACACAAGTTAGGTGAGCGTGCAACGTAAAGTTTGAATTGAGTGCGAATTGAAGCGGGTGCTCTCCAATCATTAAAAGTAACAAAGTCATTGAACACATTTATACAGTTACCTTTACGTTTATCAATCATATATCACAGATTTACAATTTTTTGTAGTAGTATGCTAAAAAGCAACTACAGAGCGAAAGTCGGTCAAGCGCCGAGGCGATGGCAAGAACAAAGGAACCCTCGAAGCGTTAAAGCTAGCTTTGTAAGGGAATATCACGGAAAAGTATGAAACGAAATGTTTTCTTTGTTGATAGACTTTGTTCGCAGTGCACTTTATTTGTTGCCGGATTGTAAGATGAAAGTAGACACAATTTCGGGCTCAAACATTTTGTCCGAAACTTTACATTAACGAGTTTTTTACTGTTATTCAAATGCAACCGTCAAAATAACGAATAGAAAAAAATTCATTCATTCTTACCTTATACTAATCGTGGTGCAGGCCAGTGCAGTGCATGAACTGATGCCCCTTCTCCGGTCAATTCCGCTGAAAGTAAATCTAATGTCCCGCTCTACTGTACAAGACAATGGTTACCTGGAGGGATGTACCACTGAGAGGGGTGCTGCGGAATAGTCCAAGTGATCGCTGCTCCCGGTCAACTATACATAAATTGCACGTCGACACGATTTTTTAAAGCTGGTGAACTAGACCAAAGTCATTGATAACAAAAGAACAAAATTTTTTTACTTTCTCCGGTACTTTATACCCGCTCAGTTGCAATGCAATTTAACGCTCAACTACAAATCGATGGCTTTTTGATGGTGACCGGCGCCGAATGATGGTAAACTATAAATAGACGTTTTCTCGATGTTGTTGTTGTCACCTGGTCGACTACAAAAAGATCAAATATCAATGACAAAAAAACAAAGGTAAATCAACATCATTACAACGTCCCTATAGTAAGACCGTCGGTTTACCACGGTATTTCAATGTTGTTACAACATTGGCATTTCAACCATAACGACGGATCGGATGAAAAATCAACATCAATTCAATGTCGTCTTGCTATCTGGGTTGCCTTTACCATCCACCAGGGGGTGCTGTAGTTCTCTCAGCAACCCTACTTCCCAAAGCCTTGCCCACATTACAACATGACTCTGATAAACCAGAAACATGTATTCTTTCTTTGTTTTTAAATTTTTGCTACATTTAAAACAACTCATTCAATTTCAGTTTCCTTGAAATATGTTGGCTATTGAGAACAAATGAACTAATGACAGCTATTACAATTTTTCTGAATTGCTACTAGACTCCATTCTCTAAAACAAATTCTTAGTGGCCAAAACCTATTTTTCGTATCAAACACTTTTGGCCAAATCTTAAACACTGATTTCTTTCTTTATCATAGAAGCTTTTTCTTTATCATGTAGAAAAACCGTTAACTATGTAACTTCTTTACACTGACAGCAAGGGGAGTTTCACTGGTCTGGCTCCACTTAAAGTCAAAGTGGACCGCAATGTTAAATGACTTTGACACCCCTGGATTAGCACATGGATAGGACCAGTAGGAATGTAGCTGAGTACCTTTAGCAGTTTACTTAAGTACGGGTTTAATATACTTGCACTTTAAGTATTTCAGTGTAATGATACTTTTATAAATTTGGAGGTAAATATTTGTTCTTTAAGCTGCATGTCCAAAGACATGCAGCTTGTGGGGATAGGTTAATTGATTAATCCAAATTGTCACTAGGTGTGAATGTGCAAGTGAATGTGAGTGTGAATGGTTGTCTGTCCCTATGTGTTAGCCCTGCGACAGACTGGCGACCTGTCCAGGGTGTACCCCGCCTTTCGCCCTATGACAGCTGGGATAGGCTCCAGCGCCCCCCGCGACCCTGAAAAGGATAAGCGGAAGCGAATGGATGGATGGATATTTGTTCTTTAATATTCCAGTCCATTTATTTCGAATCTTTATTTACTTATTATTTTCCAGATGATCTACATTAAAATCAGCAGACGCTGCAACATTAAAGAAACATATATATGTCAAAAGATCATTAGTCGCAATCTAAAATATATAATGTATATGATCCTGAAAAAAGCCATTTTACGATCAATATAATCTCTAGATATAATTTAGGTTCTTTGAATGTATTTTTTGATTATACAGATTGTGGACTGTTGAGCTATTTGGATGGGATTTTAACTTTTACTCACTGATTTATTTAAACTCTTGTGCAGCATCAGCATCCAATAGAACACAGAGATGCACATGACAATCACGCCCAGTGTTTTAAAGCCATTTTCTACACCGATTTTTTTTTGTGAGTAATTATTTTGATTTGCTGTGCTGCAAGGAGAAAAATGAAAAAACTGATATTAAATATCAATCAGCAAACTTAAATTTGTTCTCATTTTGCTGTTACAGAAGGATGTGGAAATATTGAAGAGTATAGCTACTGCTCAGCCTGCTCCTAAGTTTGGTAACACATTTATTATTCAAGCAAACTCTTCGGTTAATCTGCAGCTCAACACAAATGCCACAGCCAGCAGTGCCGTGTCTCAGGTCAATGACCGGCTTCCACAAACCACAGCTGGGGGCTCCTCTACTCTTTCGAAATCACTAAGGATTATATAACGAGAGTATCCCATCAAATACTGCTGCTTCTGCTGTTGAGCTGCAAAACCAACAGAAACCTGCAGAGATGTCCGCATGTGAGTTTGAATCTCTGGAGAAATCTCTGGAGTCCCATCTGCCAGAGGCCGAGTTGGTGGAGGTGAAACGCATCTTATTTGGGAAGGAGACAAAGTGAGTTGTTGTACTTATACTGCATTTCTTTTAAATTTACTAAAGGAAGTATTGGGCTTTCCCGTTTCTCTTTATGTTTCCTTCTTTGTTGTTCTGGTTCCTGGTAAATTATTATTCTGCTCAGTGGACTTTGATCAAGCTGAAGGATAACTTACAGCCAGCACAGAGACAGGTTTGATAAATGTATAGACTAAAAAACCCTACATACAGTTAGGTCCATAAATATTTGGACAGAGACAACTTTTTTCTAATTTTGGTTCGGTAAATTACCCACAATGAATTTTAAATGAAACAACTCGGACTTTCAGCTTTAATTCACTGGGTTGAATAAAACAATTGCATAAAAATGTGAGGAAGTAAAGCATTTTTTAACACAAGCCCTTCATTTCAGGGGCTCAAAAGTAACTGGACAAATTCAATAACTGAAAATAAAATGCTCATTTCTAATACTTGGTTGAAAACCTCTTGATGGCAATGATGGCCTTAATTTACGCTTTTTTTAGTACACTTTAGATCAGGGGTGTCCAACTCCAATCCTCGAGAGCTACTGTCCTGCAGCTTTTAGACGCATCCTTGTTCTGACACATCTGAATCAAACGAATGACTTGTTATCAGGCCTTTCCCAAACTTGATGGCATGCTGAAGAGTAATCCAACCATTTGATTCAGCTGTGTTGGAGTAGGGATGCATCTAAAAGCTGCAGGACAGCAGTGTTGTTCACTTGGTTGGCTGTTGTGAAGGGGTTTCTCATCACCATGAAAATGAATCTGCGATCATCCACCGCTGTTGTCTTCCATGGGTGTGCGGTGTTTTTGCATTGATGAGTTTAATGGTGCTTTCTTTCTTTCTCAGGATGGACCAAACTGTAGATTCTGCCTCTCCTAATACTGTAGCAATTTCTTGGATGTTTTCTTTTCCTGTTTTCACAGCTTAAGGTTGGCTTGTTTCATTTGCATGGAGAGCTACTTTGTCCACGTTGTCTGTTCACAGCAAAATCTTCCAAATGCAAGCACCACACCTCAAATCAACTCCTGGCCTTTTATCTGCTTTATTGATAATGATGTAGCCTTTGAGTCAAAAAAGGGTGGCACATGTTAAGGAGCTGAAACTCCTAAACCCTTCATTCAATTTATATCTGGCTACCCTAAAAATGAAAGCAGCGAGTCTACACATTATGCCCATGTCCATTATATAACTATAAAAGTAAGATTTTTCAGTAAAAGGTTAAAAAACAAAACTTGTGTCACTGTCCAAATATATATGGACTTAACTATATGTGCAGTTTCTGTGTCCAAGCAGGCCATGCAACTCTACAGTGTAAGTATGCTTATCTCTTCATCTTCTCCGCATTTGAAGACTTTATTGTTCATTTACAACATTAAATACTAAAAAACTAAACATGCGCATCAATAACTCCGAGTCTTCTTTTTCAGATCATCAAAAAAGTATCATGTCATTTACATAAAAAGTACCTGATTTTTACTAGTCTCCCTGTCACTGC